GGGATATGTTGGCGACATACAGGTATGTGAGGGGATGTCACACGGAGATGGGTAGAGACCTGTTCTTCCCTGCAGGACGTGCTCCAACGGAGCAAAGCTCAGGGAGCCAAGGTTCCGTTTGGATGCCAGGAAGCACTTCCTGACAGTCAGGACCCCGAGGGTGTGGAATGGGCTTCCACGAGAGGTCGTTGAGGCCCCATCAGTGCGGGTGTTCAAGGATAGGCTGGACGTCCACATGGTGGGCATGTTGTGAGCGGAGCCGGCTGGTGCCGGAGGTCAGACTAGATGGCCCAGGAGGCCCCTTCTGACTCGCTCTGTTTTCTGTGTTTCTAAACCACTGCTTCCCTCTTTTAAACCTGAAGATAAGTGTAAATGCAGTGTGAGAGTTAGAGCACTCTTATCTCTGAGGGCATGTCTGCTCTGCAAGTGAACTCATTTCCATCTGACACAGTTCTTGGTTCACTCTGCTGGTCTGCGGCTAAGACAGCATGAATGCGGAGCACTTCTCCTTAGAATTGGAATTGTCCCCAGTGTTAGGATCCTTTGGAGCAGTTCAAAGCAGATTGCAATGTTTGTCTTAACTGTAGGCCTTTAAAAACTCATGACATGAACAGTCTTGCTGCACATTTCCATGTGTTTTTAAAAAGGTATTTTTTCCTGGAGAATAGAGCTGATACATTAGCACAGATTGGGAGGGGAACAGTAGTCTTAAAGCATCGTAAGAGGTTATATTTTTTTCTGGTCCTTTGGTTTTTTAAAACAACTCCTTTCAGTTCCCATAGATTTTAAGGGAAACAGCCCAAGCTCCTCCTCTAAAAAGGCAAAGTTGACAGTCCCAAAATATATAAAGGGCAGGTTGAACACTCAGATATTCTACTTTGTGACTTATTTAAGCCATGGTGGGTTGTGGCATGTGACAGTGGTCATTATATATATTCAAGCCATACCTTCTTTTGTCATCCAAAGCCAAGCCTAGGATGTAATGTAAGGGTCAAACAACCCTCACATATTCTTAGAACAGGCCCTAGTTCATGTGACAATTAAACAATATTCAACATTTTGAATGTTCAGAAAACACCCAGCACATGCTATGGCTCACTGTGGTTATGTGAACCAGGCTCAGTATTTCTGTAGAGGAAACTTTTTCCAGAGTAGATAATGATAAGAAAATGGAAAGATGTGTATAAACCTGTGGAGGGATAATATGTATAAAACTTTGTAAAATGCAGCACAGAGACATGAACTTCCCAGAAGAAACAAAACAAACAACTCTCTTGAGAACTGTGTTTGTCTCCACTGGAAGGCTTCTAGTGTACAAACTGAGAGGCCCAGTTTGCACACTTACCTATATGGGTTCCCCATGGGCTTAATACGAAAGCCACAAATGGCTTCACTGTATATGCCCACAGTGAAGCATATGATACATTCGCACACTCTGTAGTCTTTTCTCCCTTTTCTGAAGCAGAAAAGTTAGGTGACCCATCCATTTATATGGCCATATTGCATGTTAAGTTGTAGATACTGCAGGAGCAAAGGAGTGCTCCCACTTCCACATCCCCCTTATGGGGAGGCTACGTTGGTAAGTCTGGCAACGTGGCTAGAACGCATTCTTTCCTAACCCCACAGTAACTGTTCAGTCCATATATTTGGGGGAATAGGAGGTACCATTCCAGCTCATAGGACATTCTTGCAGCAGACTGGAGTCCCAGCTCATTCTGTTTTCTAAATTGGGAACTGTTGGAGGACCTCTTTTCTCAGCCAGCTCTACCTCCGTACTGTGCTGTGGGAACAGTCCACGTTGGAGGCCCATTGAACTGCTTATGCTCTTGTACATCTCCCACTGGCTTCACCAGGGCTTGTTTGATTGTGCCTTATACTGCATTCCCGTGACATCCATTCTATGGCAGGAGATGTTCATAACTCAAGTGAAAGTTACCTTGAAGCTAAATTAGACTGACGTATCCTTTGGCATTAAATGTACTGTATCTCTTGGTACAGTGGATATTTTCACTAACATTTACCTTATGCATGATAAGCAAATGTGTCCAGATCAGATAAACATTTCAGTGCCTTTATTTTCCATTACCAATTTGAAAGATAATTGTTACTTACCAAATCAAGTGTATAGGATAATTAAGAAGGAGTTGCCCCTCTTTTGAAACAGTTTAATATCTTCTAAATTGGAACTTTAAAATCCTTAATGCTAATTGTGGAAGAATAGAAATGTGAACATTTGCAAACTATGTGATGGTAACTAGGTGAGATGGGGATAAGGTCTGGGGAAAGACATTTTAAAGATGACTTAGTGGAAGATATTTTTCTTTTGAAGCAGGTAGTGGTTATCATAGCTGCTGAAAGAAATGGAAACTCTTTGAGGAAAGGACTGTTCCTGCAACCTGCCAGTAACATGCTACACTACATCTCCTGTAATCATAGTCTGTCCTGTTAGCTCTGTTGGAAGCATATTTCTGTCCTAATAAATAATATAAAGATATTTGCACATTTCTCTTTCCCTCACGTCCACTCATGAGATCCAAAGGTGTTCTTCTGCTAGTAGAAGGATCCATCAGCTCACAGAAGGATTCTTCCATTTCTGGAACAGCTTTTTCTAACTTTGTGCAAGGATCTTGTGGAAGAAAAGAGAAATGCAGTTCAGAGGTGTGTGTCCCTTTGTAGAAGGGATTGAAAAATAGATTGCACAGCATCATATATGGTCTTTCACTAGTTCCTACACAACAGTTTGTACAACAACATGTATGACAGAATTTATTCAGCATCTGCATCTCTAGACCCAATCCCTTGTGTATAAATCTTACGAGAGATGGCTAAATTAGGGTTTTAGGCAGAAAAATGCCATTTACAAAGCAATCCTGTATTTAAATAATACCAAGGAAGAGTGATGTGCTAATGCCATGGTGGTGTAATAACCACCATATCCGATGCAAGCTCAGCCTGAGTGGGCAGGAAAACTCACAACTAGAAAATAAATGATGTAAAACCAGCAGACAACTCCTCAGCATTTCTTGGAACACTGCCATAGCTCACCAGGCACAGTTGACGATGGTGTCAGAACTGACAACACTGATCACACCTCGGATAAGGAAGAGCACTTCAGTTGCCGTAACAGGTGTGTTCCTTGGGCGTATCTGTCAATGAAACGAAGGCACAACTCACCTGGCAGCCTGCTGGTAGAGCCAGGCTTTTGTCAAATCCTCTAGGTTTTTAAAAACTTTATAAATTCAGTAAAGCAAGTCCTTAGAAAACATGAAAACATCCTCTCTGTACAAGGGTTATTCTACTTCTTACTCTAGTTCCTCCCCACCCCATTCCCAGGAGTGTCTCCAAGCGCAATACTCCCACAGAAGGAAAGGCGTTCCCTGCCTCCTCCTTGCCACTGCACACACTGAAGAGAATCTCCGGAATCGCTTTCCACTTGTTGAGGCTTCAGAGTCCCTTTAAACATCCCAATTTTGCTTTTCCATGCATATTTAAGGCGAGCAGTACTCTCACCAAATTCTAGGTTGTTAAATACAGAATACATTCAACATTAAATGTGAGCAATTTCTTTTGACATGCATGCCCAGCATTGATCATTTCTATCAAGACTTCTTGGGTTCTCCTGCAAAAGAATTGAAATTTTGTACCAAGCGTGTCTTTTTAAAAAACATTTCAGTTTAATGGAACAATGTACAGATTTGCTAGATGTTTGTCATTTATTGTTCAGTGTATGGATGAAGGCCATGTGCAGAATGTTGCTGGGCTCTCAAAATAATGGTTTCTCATTGTTTATATTGTACTTTGGAGCTCACTCTGTGAAATCATCACCACTGATCTTTCTACAAGAGATTTCCACAAAACAGGAAGATGAAATTCTAAAATGCAGTAATCAAGTGAACTTTCTGCTAGACAAATGCACTGTGTGCATCTAAAATAATCCCTCAGGATGCAAAGACCTTTGCATTTGGTAATAAATGCTTCTGCTGCCTTCCAGGTACATTTTATTTTGTTGGCAAATGAGTGACAGTTTTTTGCTTTGTTGGGATATGAACTGCTGCAAAACTACAAAGATATTTTCTTTCCTTTTTATAGCCAACAAGACGATCTGCACGATTATCAGCCGTAAGTATTTATAATTTGTGTTTGTATAAATATGAAGCCACGTTCTTTCTCATTCCAGCCCATACAAGTTGACACTGGTCATGCTGTGTGCCAATAGGTAAGGCAATGTTACCCTGATTCGTTTTTTTTTTAATCCTTGCAATATAATGCAGATTAGTGGAGATCTCTGACATGCTCAAACTACTGTCCTGTGCTTCCCACGTGCCTAAGCCGTGAGAAGTCCGGGGCAACTCTGGAGCTGTTAGTTTCTATTGAATCTGAAAGTGTCAGAGATGGATGGCATCTTGATGATATTTTATCTGTGTACAAACATGCAAGGAGAGCATACTGGAAGAAAACACACATTCGTACAGTAGTGTCAACACTGCTGATCCTGCTTCAGATCTCAGAAGAGCTCCTGAGTCTGCCAGATGCCAAGGCCATATTTCTGTATAGACGTTTCCAGGTATTATTCTGAGTTGGGGGCTGGACCTCCACCAGGCTGAGGTCCAAATGCCATTCCATTGACGTTCGTGTGGGCTGCATGTCAGTGGTGGACAGGACTGAAGGTGCAAGGGCAGGGCCAAAGGCAAAAGGAGTGGGCCAAAGCACCAGCATATTTTAGTGCAAAGCTCCTGCTGCCAGTAACTAAGCCTCCAGAGAGGCATTTCAGCATTTTAGGATGGGGGGAAAACTGCACAAAGGCCACAACACCCCCAAGAGGCCAGTGGTCAGGTGGAAGCAGGTAAGGCCAGGGGAAGGGGGAGTGTCTGTTTGGGGAACCCCAGAAGGCCGGATTGGAGCTTCAGGTGTGCTGAGGTGGCTCCCTGGGACTGAGATTCTGCACGTCTCTTCCAAGTGTTAAAACCAATATTGCATGTTGGGAGAGGGCCTTGCTGAGTAAGCTTGTCCCCAGCATCGTTGCACTTAAGGGCATCCATGCATGTGGTGCCAACACCTGTCATGGGGAGGCCTTCATCAAGCTGTACACTCGGAGGCTTCCACACGATCTAGAATCTTTGGCTGAAACGCAGCATTTCTGCTACTTTCTGCCCTCCCTAATACAGCCCTTTGTACCACCTGACAATCCACTCCAGATGGCTTCCCAGGTTTCAGAGCAGATTTTAAGAGTGGTGGCAGTGGGAGGGAAAGCACGTCACCTTCCCATTTCTGCTGACAAAAGCAGTTCTGTCAACAGAATGACACCACTGGATTCAACTGGTCCATTCACAGTAATCAGGATGACCAGACTCACGGATTGTGTTGGCTGTCTGGCTTCTCATTACTTGTACAAGAAAAAATGCATTTCAGAGACAGAGAGATCGATCCATAGAGAGGGACTGACTATGTGCGTGTGTGAAAAAAAATCAGACTTTTATGAGGTAAAAATTAATATGTTCAACTGTTAGGTTTTGTTAGGAGGTCTAAAGGTGAAGCAGTTAACAGCACAAAAGAAAAAATGTGTGTGTCCTTTACTTGAGCATGAACTAGAGAGCAGATCGTTGTAAAAACGGTGTGCTGGTGGAGTAGCAGGAGTTACTGTTCTGTTACTGTTAAGAGGGTGCTATAAATCTATGTTCTGGCTTACATATGAAAAGGTTGGATTGAAATTAGTACCGTATGATTGGAAGACAGCTAAACATTCTAAAGATGTCTATTGATCTTGAGCAAGCAGTGGTGTGATAGGATATTGGCAGCAACAGAATGGTTATAGGATTCTGACTGGAGCAAATAGAAGGAAGCATTCAGAGATTCCTGAATGAGTTTGTCTGGGAGGAGTTTCTCTGAAGAGTGGCATCAGGGAAGAGTGGCAACAGAATAGAGTCCTCAGGAAAGGGTGAGACCTTGAAGGTGGCAGCAGTGGATGAACTTGGAAGCCAAGCTAGGAGTAGGCAAGGCAAGATCAGAAGAAGGCCAGCGAGAAGAAGATTGCAAAGGGAACTTGGGGGATAGCAGAGGGCTGTTGAGTGCTGGTGGTGAAGGTCTTAAGATAGCGCAAGCAGCTTAACCAGATTGAGGACTTCAATGGGTATCGCACACAAGGTTGCAGGTGGCAGTCAGACTTTGTGAAAAGGAAGACAACATATCAAATCTTCATTACGTCTGTCTATAACTGGGGTGGAGATTGATAGGGAATTTGGCTTTTGTTAGTTAGAAACACTAGATTCTACAACCTGATCGGGTTAACAATGACAACTTTCAAGTTTTCTTTCAAAGTGACAATAATTGTAAGCTTTCTTCTTGTATTCTTTTAAAAATAAAACACTCTGTATTATCTTTACTATATCAGTACCTTTGATTTGTTTATCTCAAACCTAACAACTAGTTGATTTAGGTTTTAAAAAGTAGGCTAACTTAAGGGGTGTAGTTTTATGGTGGCAGTGCAAGGAATGGTGAAATAATATATTGGTCTTAGAAGTGATGATATCCCAGTGAAGGGGTGTTTTGCCATATTTTTGTATTGTGTGTGTGTGTGAGAGAGAGAGAGAGAGGGAGGGAGGACTGAAGAGTTTCTTGCCATCAGTCTGTGGCATGCAGGGAAACAGACTTCCAAACATTTTGATGAGACACAGAAGATAACTTTAAGAGATTGAATTTTATCTATACTATGTTGGGCTTCTTTGGTGTCACTCGCTAAGCAATGGGAAATGGTAAAAGGGGAAAGATTAGTAAGTGACATTTGGTAATAACTATGCTAACTGCTGTGTGTCTGAAAATATTTCCTAGAAACCAGCTCCACCAAAACCTGAGCCTAAGCCAAGGAAAACTACTAAGGTAAAAAAAAAAAAAAAACCCTCTGAGTTTTGTGCACGTTGTGTACTTCCATGTCACTAGACAAGGCTGCCCACTTCGCTGAAGATGAACTTAATAGAGGTTCTTAATTATTACTTGTAGACAAATAATTGTATCCTAAATTAATATAATGATGGTTACATGAAAAGGCAATCGCTGTGGAACTTTTGCTACAGTAACTGGGTTACAGGATTGCAGCTTGGGGTTGTTGTGCATTGCTGTCAGCATTACAGTCATAGGTAAAAACATACTGCCTAATTATGGGAAGGGAAGCAATAAATCCATTTCCTCAGCTTTACGAAATTATATGTTTAAAAGTCTATGGTTTATATATCAGCCATGTGTGTGTGTTTGCAGGAACATGTATATAGAAAATCAATGAGCCATAGTTTCACTTTGCATTTTAAATATCATGCAGTTCTTTGTTACTGCTGAAATGCACCACATTTTAAATTGCATTTTTTTCATGAAAGTCAGAAAACATCTAATTCTCACAGGATGCAAAAATGAAATGCAGTCTCTGGAGATTAATTAATTTTTCCAAAGTAACTTTCATCAGATTTAGATTTAGCTGGAGTTTGTAGTCTTCTCTACAGACAAAGTAGTGCTAAGAACAATGAAATATTATACCTATTCTTCCCTGTGAGCATATGGAGCTGTAGCCGTTGCTCTTTCTGAAACAGAAGAGCAGCGCAGCTGACTTGAAGAGGTGGAAGAAGCACATGGAGTTCCTGATGCTGTGTGCGGATAGTGTTGGACCTGCACTGGCTGACCTTGGATCAGTCACAGGGTTGGGAGCAAGAGGCAGACTCTGGAGCCTATCCACAGAAACAGGCTATATATGATGAATGTTATCTCTGTGAATTTTGCCTCATAGAGCACATTCCATGCTCTTTCTTGCCAGTCCTCCATATGCAGACATTTTCTCATTTATTAGCTACCTCTAGCCATGATTCAATTAGCCAACAACATTTTTAGTGCACAAGATTGAAAGATTACATCGTATTTTGTTTTGTTTTAAAGCAGTAGTGGGAAAAGAAGCACAAATGACTTGGGATTCTTCCCTGCCACATGGACCGTGTACAAAACGGGGAAAAACGTGTTCCGTAGGGACTAAGCCTGCAGCCCTCCCCCTTTGCACAAGAAAATAGACAGGAAACTGGAATGTGCAAAATAGACTTCCATATTTTAGTTTTAATGGGAGAGCATAGCACAGTTTACACTTCAGTTAGAAATTGCTGACAGCATAACATTTTCAGGAGAGTTCATTTAGGCATCTGCCAAAAAGCAACCTGATGTGTTTAATGTCTTGGGGTGGTATCTAATATCGGCCACTGGGCCTCTGCTCATTCTGTTACACCTACCAGTGCAAAGGGAAGCCAGCACTTCCTAAAGCAACCCTGAATACGAGCCCAAATGCCACTTTCCATATGGGACAAGTCAGCAGAGTTTCCTTTTGTGAGCTCTGCTGATCTGCCCCGTTCTTCTTCAAGGAATCTGTGAGTTTACACATGGGGCAGGGGGTGGGTGGATGTGCTTGCACAAAACGCTTCTTTGGGACCATCTATTGCTGAGCAGAGCTTTTATGCTTGCTCTCCTCTGTTTGCATGCTTCTTGCATGGCTTCTCAGTTCCCTTTCATCCTCTGCAGCAATATCAGTGCTCGGAACTTTCTTAGTTTTCACTTTTTTTCTAGACAACTTCAATCATTCCCATTTGGGAACTGTTGGGCAGAATTTCTTCTTTCTTCTTTGTCATTAGACTTCAGCATCTGTCTTCATTCTTTGTCTTGTTTTTTCTTTCTTTTTTCCTCCTGCCCCCCTTCAGGTGCATATGGTCTTCTTAATGATGTGTACCTGCTCTGGCGGGAAATTGTCACAGACTGACAGCCACTCCTTGCACCTCCTTGTTTAGACGAGGCATATTGAGTAAATTCCTGTGTGTGCTACCAGGGCTTCACTAAACAGGCCAGATGAAACAGGCAAAATTGAGGGAAGGTCCCCAGCAAGAGCCTTTCATTGGTGTGTTTCCTTCACTGCACCAATTCTACCAAACCTGTTCCTCTTCATACTGAGAGGTCTACCCAACATCATCAGTCTTGTCAGAAAGTTTCTTTAGTACTGTCATTCCATGGAATGATAGATATTGCTCCTACTATGGTTGATCCCCTCCATTGAGGGGACCAGTCAGAACCATGATGGCACCACCTGGCCTTACGACAAGACTACGTGGGGAGGGATGTTCTCTGCTACTCCCCCATCGCACTCTCTTTCAACACTAATAACTCTACGTGCAATGCGAGGGATACCTCCCCAGGTGCTCATCAGAATCAACCTCTAGGAGGGCATGCAGACCACAGTCCAGCGTAGAGAGGTTGGTTGCCTAATCCCCACGGGGGAAATACCCTGACCAGTCAAAATAACATCTTCAACCCAATACAGGGTTCCTCAACACACTTCTTGGACCATCCCTTCCAAACCTGAAAGTCTCCATTGATGAGCCATCCTACCCATTAAATCTCTTGGTAGTGCCTAGTTTCCAATCCCTTTGTAACCTCAAACTGAGACCAAATGAGCTTGCCCATTGGTCCCATCATGAGAAAACGATATGTATCAGCCATCTTGAACTTCTCTTAGTTGCAAATGCAATGGCAGGTTCTGAGACAACCTTCACTCGACATACAGTTCAAAAGGCTACAGACATTCTACATTAAGTTTTCTACATTAAGAAAGAAAGAAGTACAAAGTCCCTCTCCCTTCCACTTCTCACACTGAATTCTCATTGTTGGCACCACAAACATGTTTACAGAGTTGCTCATCTGGACTCAGCCCATCCCTGAGAAATGGAAACTGCCCCAGTCATTACACGGATCCTGTTCAAGATGTGGAGAACTCCTCAGTAGATCATTTCACCTGAGTGGAAAATGCAAATTACAGGACATTCTCCAGCAGGGTGGGCCTAGACCCTTTGAGGATGGCTTTCTGTTCCTTTTCCCCTCCCACTTGTCACTTGAGCCATGAACAAGATTGAGGACAACACCTCTTCTATTCTGAGAAGCTCATGGTAGCCACACCAAGTATGGTTTGCAGCCTTGCTCTTGCTCTGCAGCCATCCCTCCTCCATACTGCCACAGCTTCCCAGAACTCCTGGCAATGGATCACTGAATGGCAGGCACCAAGACCTCAAAACACTCCATCTCTCCGGGTGGAGGGCATCGCATTGCATAAGCACTCTCAGGAGGAGCACTCTTATGACCACTTCCCTAACACACTCAGGTGGCGTACAGAGCTAAGCGGAAAGCCTTTTCCTGGCATTCATTGCCTCTAGGGGACAGTACCCTGAGACTAGTAGTTTTGCCTTCTTGCTAGATTTTCTTCTCTGTCTTAAAGACACGACATTTTCATCATTCTGAGTCTACCAAGCAGTGCTCCATGAATCATACAAAGGTCAATGACTTCTTGCAGTATTCTTCTAGATATTAAGCACTTTCTCAAGGGCCTTGCTAACATCTTATTAAAGAAACGGTTTTCTACTGTTTTGAGAGCACAATGCAAATCAAATGGTATAGAAATACTTTAAATTAAAAAAATAGTTATAAAAGAAAGGCTGCACCTGTCCTTTCATGGAGTCTTTTTATGGCTCTTACACGGTTCGCAACCAGACACTTTGAGAAGTTATGACCATAAATGACCTTCACCTCTTCACTATGGTGGTTTTTCTTACTGCCATAACCTTGGCAGATAGAGTAAGAGATCTTTGCACCCTGTACCTTGCCCAACCTTAACTGACTGCAGCTGGACTTTCCCCTCCACCTACGGTGTCCTTGTTTCCTTTCTCTCAGGGTATGGTGCTCTGAACATTTCTCTCCTGAACTGACTTTCCACTGGAAGCAAAGCTGCATTCCCTCACTGTTAGAAGGGCGCAGCTCCATTCGAAGCCACCTCTCGTTGTTTATATACCATTCTGGTCCAAGGAAGGGATGCCCACACAGTGCTTTGCCAAGAGGACTGTGCTTGCTATACTTCCCGCCTTCCAAGTGTTCACTTCCCAGCTCATGAGCATTTCTGCAGCTGCTTAACTCGACCCATGGTTTTTAATGCTGCTTTGCTCAGGAGCATTCCCTCTCCTTCGGCTCTGCAGTACTATAGCTTGGACTCGGATCTCCAACTCTTACCAAGCATGACTACCAGAATACCAGAGCTCACGTGGGCATAGCCTTCAGCAAGGTGATCCTCTCCTCAGCCTTGGCATGGCGTCTTTTTTCCCTCCAGTGACTGTGCACTTACGAGGCACCTATATGTGCGTCACAGTGGCCATGAAAATAGACAGGTTGCCCACTTGTAACCAGATCTGTGAGTGATCTCTGCAAATCCACATAAACCATGCTCTGCGCTACTTAATCTATCTGTCTTGATTTGGTTTTCTGTTGTCATGGCCTAGGAACCAATAGGAGGAGCCACACTCAGAGTATGTATAAAGGAGAGTGGGCAAGGCTCTTGTCTAAAATTTCTCAGTTCTAGAAGCTTCCAAGGACTCCTGATCAGGGGCAGAACTTGTATATTAGTTATGGTTGCAGTAACAGGTAAGAAACCCCTTCTGGAAGCAAGCATTTTGGCTCAGTTTTGGTTACTTTAGGCACAGGTAGCTTTCTGTTGCACTGGTGGTGGGTTTACCTATTGTTCTGGCACCACTGCATGCTGTTTAAAGTTGTCCATTTTAACTAGTCTTCCACATGAAACATTGGTTTTTGGAGAGGACATAATAGTTATGGGGGAGCTTTCTCTACTTTATAATAAATAAATCTTCCTGCATTTGATCTGTTATCAGAAGGAACCTGGAACAAAGGCTAACAAAGGTGCTAAGGGGAAGAAGGATGAAAAGCAGGAAGCTACAAAGGAAGGTACTACACCATCTGAAAATGGTGAAAATAAAGCTGAAGAGGTACTTTATGCACAGAACTCCTGCTGATTTAGTCAGTGTGTTTTGTAATTCGATTTCTGAGCCATGTTTTGAAAGCATGTTCATAATATTTCTTTTTATTGCCCCATGATGTTATTACAGATTCGCATCTCTCGCTCAACTGTTAGTGTTTCAACATCCAGAGGTGCTCCACCCAGCACACTGTCAGTAAAAGGGCAGATTGAAACAGTGAAAGTTAAGGGTACGGTAGAGCATTCTGCATGTGTGCAGTGAATAGAAACAGATAGTAGTGTGGTGCTTTTCATTGTGAACAATGAAAGCTAGCAGGTAAGGCTTCTCTGGCTTTTGCAAATCAGGAACCGATATATTTCAGAGTGTTTATAGCTGTCCTGTCTATATGATTTATAGTGCTTAAATAGCTGGAAATTGGGCTGTTACAAATATTTGCAACAAAAGGAAAGAGTGCTAGTGTTGAAAGTGGGTTTAAAAAAAAATCCTGAGGTGGTGGTGGTGTTACTTTTATAAAAGTTGAGACAGATTGTGATCAACTGCCATAACATTTTTCCTTTACCTTTTACAGGCACAGAGAACTGAAGTGCGTGTGAACTGACATGAACATTTGGGGATGATTTTATGTACTTCTGGACAACTTTTAAAAGATATTTTTATTAAGTATTTTGTAAATGCTAATTTTTTAGGACTTACAATAAGCTGACAAACTGTAAATGAACGTTTCCTCCTTCCATACCCACGCTTCTAGAACTTCGCAGTGTTGCCAAGTTAAAAAAACAAAAAACAAAAACAAAGTATCAGCTTAACATTGGAAAAAGTGTTTGTAAGATTGGACAAGCATTCCACTTACTTGCTTTTCAGAAGTATATGTCTTGTGCATATGGTGATGTTTTTACCGTGGGTGTTTGGATTTTTCTTGCAGCTTTTTCTAGAGCAATAATCCGTGGTGCTTTTGTATTTAAGGTTTATGCGATTTTAATGAAACATGTATAGATATGGCCACCTGCTGACTATTTTGGTTTCTTTACATTTGTTTAAAATAAACAAAGTCTCTGCTGCCAGAAAATATAATTTCCAATATTTTCTCTAAATCTGAGATATGCCTTACTTAGCACTTGTTAGGATGATACTAAGCACACTTACCTAGAATAAATGCCCTGGTGATTTCAGGATAAGGATACATGCCCAAGGAAGTCAGTGGGACTTGAACCACAATCCTAAACACCCTTGCTTGGCATTAGGGTCCACTGTTTAGGACCAGAGGACTTACATGCAATTATTCCAACTTACGTGGTTTGTAGATCAAAGCCAAAGTACTTTACGGTTCCCCTGAGGAACATTCACGACACATGCAGATCTGTGACAAATAATGGAATTGAAGCTCACATATGTAATAGCAGGCCTCGCACAGTTTGTGATCCGTGGAACCATAATTAGCCCACTGGCCATGTACTGTGGCTTGCCCAGGTATTTCAGAACTCCTGCACCTGTCTTTGCAGCTTCACATGCAAGGTGTGCATTGCAAAAGTACAACTCTTGCCGAACCCTGGGAAGCTACCTTATATGGTTGGATATTGCATAGTAGAGAGGAGACTTTAAAGTTGTCCCTGGTCCATTTTTCAGCTTTACACTATTTCAGTTCAAACAGACTTTATAATACTGCATCAGCACAGACTGAACTAAAAGATTTAATTTCTTTGCTGGTTGAAAGATTAAAAGGAACAGGTTTGACTTCGCATCCCCTTCTCTTAGCCATCCCCCAGTCCACAAAAACATCTCAGATTATGAAACTGTAACCTGTATCCAGTTTTAATTTACCTTTGATAATTTTGCCTACTTTATTAGAAAAACAATGGTTAATATACCAAATTGGAGGTTAATCAACACTGTGTGTGGTGCCTGCTAGAAATGATGTAGATGAAAGTATACTTTAAGAGGTCTGTGGTTGTGATGGTGGTCTTAAATTAGCTGAATGATTTCTAGTACTGTGTTAACACTGCTTCAGCCTATTATAAGCACCTAGTCATTTTCCCATCTCTACTTTTCTTCTTTTTAAATAATTCACCTTTTGAATATTTTTTGTTTGTGGGGAGGCAAAGAAAAGTATTTGTCTTTTGGTAACATTTATTTTTATTGCTGAACTGGTGGCCATAACGTCTGGGGATATATGCATGTTTCAGTCAATAAATGAAGTAATTATCACCCAACCTTAGTGTCTTTATTTAGTATTTGGCAACAATTGTGCCACTTGTAGTAGTTACTTTGACAAATCTCATTCCATTCCAACAGCTTATCTGTTCATCTACTGTGCTATATACAGGTTGGAAGAGTGAAGGAAAATGATAAAAGCTAACAAGGGCATATCTTAGTTTGATGTGTAAAATAAATAAGATGCCATGCTTAAAAGCTCAGTCTCATGTTTATATGCAAATGCATTACATTTTCATTAGTCCTCATCAGATCACAAAGACCCAGGGCATTAGATATGGGGGTTTTTTTTAACAAAACCCAGCTGATTTTTGCCTAAGCATATACAATTGCCCTATGATTTGCTTCCTACAGTGAAGCCCTATTGACTTTGTTATTTAGCTCCCATCACCGCAGTGTGAATTTCTAACACACACACACTAATGAATTTCTTTGCAACATCCCTTTGATGTAGGAAGGTATTATTATCCTCCATCTTACAGATAGGTAATTAAGACACAAGAGATTTATTGCCCAATCCTTAAGGCTGTTCTAACTAATGGAAAATAGAGTGAATGGCGCTTGCATTGACTGAGAGCTTATAAGAGAAGACGGTTCATGTCTTGGACAAATTAAGAATTGAATAGAGCTCCCAAGTCATAACACTTGAGCCTTTTCATGTCTCTCTGCTCATGGGATTCTTATGAGGTCTAATTTTCTTTAAATCTGCATTTATGAACATTCCATTGTTTATCAAATTGTAATTTATGTAGATAACATTTCACAAGGGATAAAAATGCACTCTCAGTTGGATGAAACTGAGGAGTCACTGCATTGGGTCATCCATTTTATTCCATTTAATTTACATACTGCTGGCAAATTCTGCTCTCAGGCAGGCACCATTGGCAGGCAATAACTGTAATCCTGAAGCAAGTTCACTGCATTTCATGAACAGCATGTTTCCATGCTACCTCAAAAGTGCCGGCTGTCTCCAGAGTTCATCGCATTTGAACGAGCACTTTACGTTTAAGAAATGAGGGGACTACCAAAGGTAGGAGATAGGAGGGCCTTTGTAGACCCCTGCTTATGCATTCATCTTTTAACTAAATTCCACAATCTGTTAATATTGTGTATTTCACGGCGGTCTCTTGTCTAGCTCAACATGACATGTTAGCCCTCTTCTCTTCGCACAGTTAAATGGCATAAGAGGCAGGGAAATCATGCTAGCAAGCCCTGGCCCCAGCCCCATTGCACCATCATTCTCTCGTTTGCGGCCGTCTGCCAGTTGCGCAGTGAACATTTTGAGTAAAGGGCCTCCTCCTTGTGGCCTAAAAAGCGAGAGTGCTCCATTATGCAGGAAGCCTACACAGGTAGGAAAGGCTCCTTGCCACAGAAGTTAGCCTTCCAACACAGTTGGCAGGGATCAGGAGGTCAGAGCTAGCACCCTCCTCTTCCTCCTCTCAGATTGATGCAGCGTAAAAGGAAGTTGAACACCTGAATATGGCTTTGTTGTGTGCTTCCTTCTGGTCAGTCATAGCATCAGACTAGAAGGGCATGGTTAGAACATCTATTTATTTATTGAGTGGTGTTACAGTAGCATTTCTGAAAAAGCACTTGAAATTTAAAAGAATAGCTCATGATGAAGGGAGAAGAAAATGATTACAGAAGGACCAAGTTCAATAGTCATTGCAGAACCCAGTTCAGTGAAGGAGAGAACCAAACAGCCATTGACCCTATCAGTGCAAAGGGAGGGAGCCTCACGTCTCTGTCTAGTGGTTAGAAATACTGTCCTCGGGAAGAGATGAGTGGTTTAGTTGACGGTGGAAGGGAAGGCAGATGAAAATGCAGTTTCTATAAGAACAGAGCAAGGAGATCAACGATGGTGTAACTTAGTTAAGAGTACTGGACTGGGACTTGGGAGAGCTGGATTTGAGTCCCAATTTGCTGTAAAGTTCTTTGGGTGACTTTGGACCATTCACAGCCAAACCTACCTCACAGGGCAGTTAGGATAAGCCAGCAGGAAGATCATGCAAACTGTCATGGGTTCCTTGCAAGAGGGGAAAGGTGGTAACGGAGCAATAACTTTAAAACATTAGACATACCACAAGACAAAAGAGAAAAATATTTAATAGACATTGAGAGAAAGGTATTTGATGAGAAAGTCAATGGAAAGCATTAGCCTACAAAGAGAAAAGATGGGTACTCGATGGTCAACAAAACCCCACAGAAATCAGTTGAAAGCTAAATAGTGAAGCATCCTAAATACAGCTAACAAGAACATTTATTGTTTGCGACTGTTACAAGAGTACAGGAAAGAAGTATTCTCTACATGCAGCAAGATAAAGGAAGCCTAATTACAGGGAAATGTGGAAAGACATTGCGATCTGACTCTGAAGAAACGAGGATTGACAAGACTAAACTGTAGAGGGCCAAAGAGTAAGTAATGTGCAAGGCTTTTGTTGCCATTGTTGTAATGTGTTGTCAAGTTGTCTTTGATTTATACTATGAATGAAAGCCCGACCAAATGTCCTATCCATGACAGTCCTGATCAGCTCTTGTAAACATAAGACTATGGCTTCCTTTATGGAGTCAATCCAAAGTAAAGTTTGGGTCAGGTAAATGAAGAGTAAGACGCATGTATTAGGAGATGAGTTTGCTCAAGTAGGAAAAAAACCCCTTGCATTCTGTGGGCATATTTCCTGGCTGCCACTCAAATGTATTTTCCCCCAAATCCACCTAAACAGACTACAGAATTCCAAGTGCCTAACATTCCACTCCAGGAATGGCTTGCCAATAGGATGCTGAAGTCTTCTAGGAGGTAAACTTAATTTCCAAAGCAGTCCCATCTTCACACATTTCTGATGTTCAGTGTGCCTTGTGCTACATGCATATGTTAGGCACTTGAGGATATGCCAAACTCTGCATATTAGGGAGAAATATACAAATGACTAATTTTCAGTTTTTTCTAGAAGTTCAGCCATATTTGATGGTACCAGCTTATCATAAACCTAACAATGAGATAGTTCCATCTGTCAGACAAGGAGGCCTAAACATTTTACAATTTGATTCTGGAGACAAAGTGGACATACGCAGTCTATGAATTGAATGATGATAGCCTTTCTTTGACTATCCCCTATAAACGGAGTAAGGCCTCTGCCTATAAAGAAGTTCGGTTTAACTCTTAAAACACTTTTCAATGGAATGATTTTTGTATGATTTTGCATTTCTTTATTGCTTTAGGTTAATGCCTTGAGGTTCTGAATAAAACCTGATATAGCATTAAACATTGATTATTAATGCATGCTCTTTCATCAGATAGTTTTGTCAATAGATTAATTTTTAGCTTGATAAACAGGAAGAAAAATGGTGTCAGAATTGGTTATGTGAAATGAATTACGCATTACATTGTAGGAAAAAACAGATTTGGTATGGGAGCAAATGTTCTTTCAGGCAACTGAGTCCCAAGCCAAAGAGGTTCAAAGCAAGCACCAGCACTGGAATTGCACATTGAAATGGACTTATAGCCAGTAAGGTTTGCTAAGCTTGGGCATAAGCAGTACAATAATATAACTATCAAAAATGTTGCATGTATGACACAAGATTTATTTCACATTTGAAACAAAATGTGTTCCTGTTAGAACTCTTAACAGCATTATTGACATTAGCTTTTCAGACTGCTAAGATTTAGGGGCTGTTATTTTAATGTACCACCAAGTAACCTTGTTGCTAACTAAATGTAAGAAATGGAGCTAAGCTAGAGACTGTCAGCATTTTTGCTTTGGCTGAGAGAGGGCATAATTCTGTAGACAGGATAAACCCATTCAGTATATTTGTTGCAAGGGAAAAGATTAAGGGAGCAGCACTTAGTCACCCCATGCTGCTTCCCAGCTCCCTGGCTGTAGTGTTCAGGGAGCAAGAAGACACCAGACCTGCACCCCATCAGCAGCCTTTCTAATAAGGGAGCAGGTGCTGTTTATCTGCCTTAGCTTTTGTATCCCTGCTTTGCTGCCTGAAATAAGTCTCTAGCCAGACACATTAATGTTTTCACCCTGGAAACCACTAGGGAAGAGAAGTTTGAGTGTGATTGCTTCCTCATTGATGGTTTAGTCTATTTTTAACTAATCAAAGACAGGCACATGAAACAAAAATTACTGTGGTCCTGAGCAGCACTGCCTTGCCACTTCCCCCACATCAGGTCACTGCTTAAGTATACCTATGTGCAAACAAGCAGTGTTTTGTTCTAATAAAGATCATGCATCTCTGCATCAATAATCAGCCACAGATTACGCTCCACTTTTCCTATGTGTCCCCTCACCCACAAATACAGTCTTGCACCTCAATAAAAGGTCAGCTTGTAGATTATTGCATGAGTTGCATGCAGTTATCTCAGTCCTCTTTCATTATATTTGCTTGTTCATTTTAGTTTCTAAACTATTTACTCCATTTGAGTTCTAGAAGTCCTCATCTAGATATCATTTTAACTTTTCCCCTCCCCAGTCTTCTTGCATGATTCCAGAACTGCACTACTGTAGAAATCCCTAGGTTCAACCTAACCCATTCTGGTGCCTTCCTGATGTTTTGGAAGCTGAACACCCATCAACCCCAGCTAGTATAGCTAATGGCCAGAAATACCAAGAGATGGAGGATGCTATGTTTGGAAAGGCTGGTCGAGACTATTTCAGGAATTTAATAGGAATGAAAACACATACGGTACACATGGGTTTGCACTTATAGAGACAATCTTCCTTACTACTGGCCCACTTGCATTACATCAGTGCTACCTGCTGCACACAGGTAAATGTGAACAGATGCACTGCCTTAAAACAACCAGGTACACAAGGACTAGAAGTCCTGACTCAGTTGTGCTTCTCTGGAACTTGCACACAAATTTTAAGAAAGAAGCATGTCTTTCATTTGTGCTTGATTCATCTGATATGTGTCTCCATACAAACATGATTCCCATGTGACACATAGTTTCTCCACCGTTGAGCAAGACCATTTATGTATGTATGTATGTATG